AACTTTGAGTACAAAGCTTGGAATACAAAGCTTTGAATACAAAGCTTCGAGCATAAATCTTAATGTATAAAGCTCGATGCACAAATGTGTGGACGATAATATATTTTTACAGAACTTCAAGGCTCCTAAAACAACTGTCGATTTCTACTTACCTTTATCACACCGATATCGTTGTTAATTCTCGTAACCCCATCGTATAGAGGGTGAGGAAACATCTCAGCCACCCTATGGTACTCTCCACCCTGGTCAAGGTATATGGTACCAGTTACAACGTAGACTTGGTCTGGATAGTTAGTGAGGGTTCTCACACAGTGCGCAGCTGTGAGTATATGGTAGTTGTCGATGATGGCACCGCCGCAAATGTGAGAATTCTCTACTCTGAGGGATACGGTGTAGGGAAATTGACCAGGCAGCGCATTCTGGCCGTTAACTAGCCTCGCAGCGCCATCGACACTCGCTAAAATGAAAAAAACTCAACATCATAAGCAGAATATCGATGTACAGCGTTCAATTGTATCGTTTTCAATTGCTTTTTAGATGACGGATCGTCTCGAGTGCAATTATTAATATATTAGCCACCTAGTATTTGGAAGTAATAGATATTTTCTGCACTTACCGCAAGCTATGGCCGCAAATGAGAGCAGAGTAACAAGTTTCCGAGACATAATTGATTTTGTTACTACGATTAATGATATCATAGGCAAGGTTTATATACTACTGTCATATTTGTTCTAAACTTTGTGTACCAGGTGAAATTTCTGATAACGAGACAAATCTCTACATGTGTAGTTTCCAAGTATGATAACTTTCGAGGATTTGGAAGAGTTCTCAAACATACGGTTGTTATTGAAGTGCTATGTGTGGTTTCTTTCCAATGTGTACTTTGTTTTGAATTTGTATGAATAGATTTAGTTATGTAATCAGTGGCACTGCTTATGTTTGAGACGGAGAAAAACGTCCTGATGCTCTAGCAAACACTAGCGGATTGCGAATAAGATAAATTGATAATTATGTTATCTTGGCACGTGTTCTTGAAGAGAAAGGCGTAATGGGGATTTGGAGTACTCGACCTCGACGAAGGGAAGAAGCAGAGAGTTCTTAGAACGTTAAGTCGATAGTAAATCTTTCGATAGAAGAATAGATCGATAAAGAATCGATAGAGATTGATAAAGAATTATTTAATTGGTCCTTGAACAGAGACAAAATGATTGCCTATCGAATGTTTTCGTTTATATTTAGAGGTATACACTGATCAAATTAAATCGTCATGTGTTACACATTTGTGGGTTTTAATAAAATAGTATCTATGTATATAAGATGTCCAAAAATGTCGGAAGCACCATCGATGGAAAATTAAGTGGCATAACGAAGGCAAGAGTTACGTCAATGTAGCACGATTGTTAAGGAGAAGTAATCTACCATTTACCACATATTAAAAACTTAAAAATAACTGGAGTCCATTCTGGTCAGCCCAACAAAATTAGCGAAGAGGGAAGAGTGAAGTTGAAAGGATCCAAGAATTTCTGCTTCAAAGCTTGCACTAATGGGTGACAGTCTCAGAGAAACAAGTTCATCCTGAATTTTGTCGGAGAATCCTTAGCAAAAATAATCTTCGTGATCGTAGTCCCCGAAAGAAATTATTTATCAGTAAAGTCGATAAGCAGAAAGGATTGAAATTCGCTTAAAATAATATTACGAAGCACTAAAACATATGTTATACTAACATATGCTATACTATTTCTTTAAAGATCATCTTGAAGATTAGATCTCTAGTAAACATTAAATTGTTGTAAATTGAAGCTGGTATTTATCTACATCATCTTACGAGTTTTCAAACTAACAAGGTTGAACAATTTTCACCCAAGATAGATATAAAAAGCAAGATTGAAACGAAAAGTTTTTCACTCAAACTACAGCAAAATATTACTACTTAAACAATATATCACGAAGCAATCATTGGTGGATGTTTTAACAGAAGAAATTGTCGTTGCTGTTTATTTAATGTTTTATTTCAACAAGTTACATTGATATTCGAACGGATGATGGTAATGCTTGGATGCATAAGATCAAGAAATGTTCAAATAACAGGTCAAAGTTAGACGTTGTAGTATTGTCTAATGAAACCAAGATTGTCGGCAACACTGGTGAAGACGTCGGGGAATCCTTCAGCGCAGAGACGACCACGAGACAACACGCCAACGAGTTTGTTATTGTAGACGAGGGGATCGCCATCATCACCCTGGAAAGATTAAAATAATAATTATTTCTCCAAACAATTAACATTTTTCATATAAACAATACACCAAGTTTCTCGATACTTACGTAGCACACTCCCTGTTCGGCACTGTTCAAAGTACAGATCTCGTTGGTTACGCCATCGAACACGTTGTTGCACTGCAGAGAGTCGATGATCTTAACATAAAGGTATCGTTGCTTGTTGGAAGATGTGAAATCATAATTTGCACTGCTGCCCCATCCGCTAACAACAGCGTAGACATCTGATGGTGGCCTGCTAGTGGCAATGGCGATTGGTTCTTCGTACGTGTTGAAACTGATGTTGTCAGCAAGCTAGAAGAGGATACATATTTGTTTAAATGTAGCATTACTTGCGGTTAACAGTTATCTATTAGGCTCGGTTACTTCAAGTGTCTAAAAGTCAGTCGAGGAGCTTTATAGTCAAAGTTCATTTTATGGAAAGTTTGAGTACTTAGGCGCGATGTACAAAGCTTGATATACAAAGATTCTTACCTTCAATATAGCGATATCTTGAGAAGTATCGTTGGTTCCATTTACCCAGTACATACCATCCACGCTATGGGTATTTCCACCCAAATTCAGGTAAGCGGTGCCACTCACAACACTCAGTTCACTCATGTGTTGAACGTTTACTATGCAGCTGTACGAGGTGATGATGTGGTTGCTGTTGAGTATGGCACCTCCACATTGGTGAACGTGGTTTATTCTGATGGATACCACGTAGGGGAATTGGCCAAGCTCGGCATATCCACCACCCACTATTTTTTCTGCGTTAGCAGGGCTTCCCAACTTTTCGGGTTTGTCAGCGTTGACTGCGTGAAACAAAAATTGATCATAGAGAACTATTGATATATGTATAACATTATAAAGTGATCGAATATGTCCATATTCAACATTATTTTCCTCTATAACGCTAAATAAGAGAGACTAAATATGTAACTATGGGAATTCTCGGAATTGTACTCCCGTCGACGAACTAGAACCTGTTTCTCAAAATAAGTCACTTACTTTCGAGCTTACTTATTTTTAATTTGAGACAGGTTTCTGGACTGACGAACATTTCTGTAGCAAATAATAGAGTGCTATAGATATTGTCTTAATGCAAACTCGAAAAGACAGTATCAATTTTAACGTGAATCTAATATTTTGCAATGTTTGATGTTCGTAGTACTTACTATAGCCAACGGCCACAAGAACAAGAAGGCTGACGAGAATGCGATTCATGGTGGAAATGGTGCTTTGACTTCGGTCTCACGGTTAATGATGCCAACGGTGGAAGACGTTGTCTTTATATACTATTTCAATGTTTGTTTAAACGCCGGTAATCTATGGTTCACGTGCAGAATAGAAAGCGAATATTTGAAAGCTTGCAAAATTGGAGCAGGAATTGTGCGAAATCTGTGCTATGTTCTCAGTAAATATGCGAATCCATAAATTTTGGCGGTCTACTGATAACGCCGCGTGATTTGATGGAATTAAGTTTATATAGTGTGGCACATTTTACGTTCCTATTTTCGCAACGAGCGGAATTGGTTAAATAAATGGGTTTACTTGTCAGGGAGATTAAGCACCCTCGAGTCTATTCGATTCGCGAGGTAAAAACGCGATTTCAGTAAATATAGTGATACTTTTAATTAAGTTTTATTATCTGTCACGAAATAAACTCAACACTTACGCATTAAACGTTTCACGAGTAATAGAAACAAATGCCTTCTGCAGGCAACCTAATCACTGAAAGGCAAAGTAGTATCAAAAAGTTGCAAGGTACCTCTCGAACCCTTGATGCCATCGAGCGTGTTACCAGCGCAGGCAACAGCCATGGATGCCGTAAAAATCACCATCAACGTCCTCATGTTTCCTAAACACACGAAAACCGTTAAATTAATCGCTCGATTGGTCGTTCAGGGTATCGCGTTAATCCTGACTGCAATATTCCGTTGAATCTTCGAGTTGCGATTTTACTGGTGGATGTCAAAGAGTAAAATGGCTTTTAACGACCTCTAACTACTGTGGTTTCGAGTAACCAAATTGTGGGGATCGGTACAGCGTGCGAATGGCTCGGATGTTTGTTAATTACCCAACATTGTAACACCAACTGCTGGCGAAACTGAACATAGTTCTGTTATAGCCGCGTAATTGGATCAGCGAGATGATATTTGTATGCAAATGGGGATCTGTCTTGTTTATCGCGTCTTGGTTTGTTGTTCAAGCGTTAGAATTTTTTTTTTAGAGGAGTATAGAGCGAGGATTAGCGGGTTCCATGTTGAATTTCACAGTTGTGGGCGTATAGTGTTATAATAGTGATGCGATTTATAATTGTGAAGATAAAGTATTAATTTTGAAAAGTAGAAAGTAAGGAGACTTTCATTTAGTAATTAAATTTCATCTTCCTTGAATAAATTATGATGTACATCATAATAAAATATATTCTACTGTAACAGAGTTCTTTTCAAAATTACTCTCAATTACAATTCATACTTAACAGTCGACAACCATCTCAAAGCCCCGACTACAAAATAAAAGAGAATATTTAAAAAATGTCTAAGATTGAAGGAATAGCGAATAGCGTGAAATTGTTACGCTTTAATATTTTATATTAACCATAATTTACAATAGAGACAGTGCATATACCTTTTTATTGAGTCGTCTTCGATGAAGATGTACCACAGGTAGTCGTTAAACTATGCGAGTCGATCAAGGCTCGCCAGCTTTTAAAGGCAATAACGAAACTGTTAAACACGTGAAATACGACAATAACAATACAATTAGTATAAGCAAAAGGAATATTGTTATACTTTCTTTTGTCACGCGCACTGTTTGTGCATTGTCTTTCGTGCATTAATTAGATACAATGGCGCATGCGTCTACAATTTCAATAGCTTTGGAATATGTCGAGATGGGAGGCCATCGAATATTATAGAGCAAACAATCATCGTGCATTATTAATTTCTAAGAAGTGATTATCTCAATACGGAGTGTCAGTATGATTCGCGTCTTGAGATCTCTTTTGACAATCTTCTAAGCTGTGAGATATGTCAGAGGAGAGGGGGAGATCATTTCAATATTCCAGAGGAAACAATAATTTTGCATTCTTCTTTTTTAAGGAGTTAATTTAAGGAATTATTATCTGAATATGAATTGTCAACATTGATTCATGCCTTAAAATCGCTTGTATATTTCAGTCTGTTTTGTATAATATATATGGTACAAAAAATAATGAATCTCTGTTACATTTAACTAATACATTCTTTGAGTTACGTGTTCATTTCTGCGTGAATGAAGTTAAGATTATCATAGACGCTGGTGAAGAGATCTGGGTATCCTTTTGCGCAGAGAACAGCACGAGACACGATGCCAACAACTTGCCCGTTGAAGACCAATGGGCCGCCGCTGTCGCCCTGGGGACAAAACAAATAAAAGAACATGAATCAATTGGTTGAATCAATCGCAAACGGTATTGTTTCATGCATAGACATATGAAAATATAGACCGAGCCTTTTTACGAGCCTTTTATAAATCGACGTTAGACGGGTGCCTTTCAAACCCCGAATATCACCTCCCCTTACCTATAGTAGCAGTTTATGCTCGGTCTATATTTTTAACCGACTTCGAAAAGGAGGAGGTTACTCAATTCGACATGTATATATTCTTTCATAATGCTTACGCTGCACACTCCTTGGTCGACGGTGTTCAGAGTGCAGATCTCCGTGGTGATGTCGCTGTAACTTTCCCTGCACTTGTTACTATCGATTATCTTCACCTCCAGGAATTGCTGTATGTCTGGAGCCTGGGACGGAGGTGCTGTGATACCACCCCATCCGCTCACAACACCGAGGTAGTTTGTTGGGGGTCTGCTGCTAGCGAGTGCAATTGGCTGCTGGTAAGCATTGAAATTGATACTACCAAAAATCTGGAAAAAATATATTCACATCGATGTTTAATACAAACGTGGTGTGAGTCGACACTAAAATTACAGAGGTCACAAATAATTATTACATAGACAGTCGCACAAGTATTTGTATTCGTCTACACTTTTGTACAGGTCTGTGTATTCAATGATGCAAGTGAATGCTTCGTTATAATTATATACGTGTGTAAAGTTTCTTCATGCACGTACAGTCAGTCCCATAAGTATTCGTACATTTTATGTTTATCGAAGAAATTTGTCTAATTTAAACGAACGTTCCATGTTTCCAAATAAATTTGTAATTGTAAATACATAAATGCGGGAAGTTCGTTCATGTACATATTTATAATGGAAAATTGATTTGAAAACATGAAAGCTGTCATTTAAATTAGATAAATTTCATGGAGATCATGGAGAAGGACTTTATGGAGATCGAGTTCGATCCGATTCGTTAAACGTGGAAAGATCCTTACCTTGATCACGCCGACGTCCATAGACCACGGATAGTCCTTTATGTAATACATAGCAGCCACTTTATGGCTCTCGCCACCCTCCTTGCGGTAGATGGTACCACTTACGACGGTCATGTCGTTTATGTTAGGAGCGCCAGCTGTTACACAATGGGCAGCGGTGAGGATGTGATTATTGTTAAGTATGGAACCCCCGCAAATGTGCTGGTTCCACACTCTGAGGGACACCGTGTAGGGAAATTGGCCAAGTTGGGCGTTGTAACCGCCCACTATCCTCTCCATGTCCTCGGGGGCTGCTGAATTCTCGACGTTCTCCGTGTCTGCTAACTTCCTGTCAAACCTGGGGTACAACAACTTCCTGACATCCTCGGGGGTTGATAACTTCTTGCTCTCATTAGTGACTTTCGAAACGTCGGCGTAGATGGCAACTACTCGGTCCTGAGGGAACTCGGCGCTCGCTATATCGGAAGAAGAGTGAATTTTAGAACGAGCATCGATACGCAACTTTTCACTATTTATGGAATCGAATGAGTACAAGTTTATTCATGCTTATTTTACTGGACGAGTTGAGCCAAAAGGAACGAAATTCGTTTGATCTGAAGTTAACACGTTTACTGCCAGACTGATTCACATGGAAATGTCTACAGGGCTTACATTTTGCTTCAGGTCATTTAGAAACTATAGAATTTAACATTTGTCGTACTATTTATTTTTATATTTTATTAATGGGAAATTAATATATTATATTAATATATTACCACGCTGCATCGATAAGTATTTTTATTTGTGGTACTTACCAAATGCGAGGACCGCGAATATAAAAATACACACGAAATTAGAAGACATGATTGACATTGTCTTTTTGTGCGCGCACTGACATCGAAATCGACGATACGGCTTTATATGGAATTCTATTATCTTGCACTTCCAGATAGGAAAATCAGTAACAAAAGAAATCTTTAACTCTAAATTAATTTTCAAACAATGACCGAATGATAAGAGTGTTGTGTATGATTTAAGTAGTATTACTAGAGAATAAATGTTAATTAAATTAAAAAAAAATCATATACCTATCGTATGATCACAATCAAGTATTACTTTGATCCATTGAAAACAAAGCTGATACAGCTTTTGTTTCGATCGGTATCTTATCGATAGCAATGTCAAGAAATTATATATTTCCACGGGGAATTAGTGCTTTGCGATGATAATTATTTATTAGACTTACCAGAACCCATAACTGCAAGTAAAGAAAGGATGAAGACTAAGCGACACATGATTTAAATTTAAATAGCGATATGATTCTGATTGTAGTTGCGATTAATGATACCCTCAGTAACAAATGCAGACTTTATATATTATTCTGGAGTTTGTTTAGGCTCCAGCTGACAGTATTGACAGTTGCGATAAGCATTGCAAATTGTATAATATTTTCAATAAATCGGGACACACGTAGGTGCAACAAGTGTAAACAAGTTCGTCGAAACGATGTTTATCTTTTAATGAACGGTTTGGATTCAGTGGCTCGTGTAATGAACGAATGACGTGCTTTGGAGGAATAATTTAAGACGATTTTTGACTTTATGTACATTACGAATATTTCAGAGAAATAAACCTCGCGTGCTTAAAAATATTAGCCAGCAAAGGAACCATTGTTCATTTCATTTTAAAGGGCTCGAATAAATCTCAATTCCCAGAATATCCATTTCAATTAAGCGCGATAAGGTTTATCTCAGACTAATTCCTACATAAATACAATTTAATTAACGTCCGATATGGTTGACGTGAAACGATTAGGAATAGTATTTGCTATTAGCTGAACGTGCTTAAAAAATATGTAATCATTGTTTTTTTGGATCCCGAAGTTCCAACTATTGCGAGTGAAAGGTGATTCACGAGATTGCGAAACTCGATGAGACAGGTACTTTTACCATAATCCCAAATGTGGTGTGATGCGTTGCGATCTGATTACAGATTCTGTGACGTCTTTTCGAACATCTGAGTTGTATATCGGAACATCGCTAACGTCAACATTAACATAATATGTTTGTGTACCTGACGTGCGAACGATTCGATTAACCACTTGACGATTCCGACGCACATTCGTTTCATGGGTCATTGAATGCAATGCGTATCGCTGATATCAGCAATCGACATCGTGATAATGGGATACATAAAAACAATAACGAATTGAGCTACGCTACATTTCACACAGCTTCTTGTTGGTTCAATTTTTTTTTTTAGCGATGCATGATTTTCTTCTAAAATTATCCCTTTCGGTGCCAGAGGCACATATGCTTCCTCACATCTATCAATACATACAAAAGTCATATACGTCATTAGGTTGTCTGAAAAGTCCACGTCGATTTTCGGTAGGTGGTCCTTTATGCGTCCCTTAAAAGGTGGGAAGGTTGTGGAACAAGATGGTAATATATGTATATCAAATATATGTATATCAAAATATATGTATATATATTATATGTATATTATATGTATATTATATGTATATATATTATATGTATATTATATGTATATTATATGTATATATATTATATGTATATTATATGTATATATATTATATGTATATAATAATATATGTATATCAAAATTACATAATTATATGTATATCAAACTTTAAACGCGCCTTTGAGTTTTTCTTAAAAATTGGGCAGAAATCACGATATCGTAATTTTGCTATTATCCGACGACTGTATGACGTGAGCCCCTCATTTGGGAATTTATTCAAAATGTCTACTTGTGAAATATGCATAGCGTATTTTATCATTGACGAAGACGGGGATGTTTCACTAAACTGTTGCAAGGGTATGACTTAGATGGCGCATAGCGATCGTCTCGAAATGAAAACGGTAACTTCGGTGCAGCCTTTCTCCGAATCCTCGATCGGTTCCACGGAAGATGCACCGCCCAAACACCTGTGCCTAACGTCCGTTTCCTAGGGAAAATCCATTACGCGGAAGCAATTAGTAATATATCACTATCCCCGTCGAGGAATAGCGTTACGTTTCAATATATCGTGCACGCTCGGTTCATTAAATATCAATAGCCCCACGGTAATTAATCACGCATCGATTCTCACAGATAATCGATTGGCAATATCGTTAGAGGCATAGAACGAGGGAGAAAGGTGTCGGCCGTGAGCATGATTCGGAGATGCTCGTGTAAAGTCATCGGTGAACGTGTCTCTGGTTCGCACGTGATCTTTATAGCCGCACGGCGCTGACGTAATTGCATATTTACATTGCGTTTGACGTCTGATTGAAATTTATTGAATCGTATCGGACCGTTGCCGTTTTTTTATCAGCCCGCAGCGTTATTGGCGAACGATTTTTACCTTGTAAATAAGCCGCCACGAATACCAAGGTGTTTTCTCGATTCGATCGAAGGGTGGGTAGCCTTTGGGGTTCCTCTAATTTGTCTCGTGGTTGCGTTAATTGTCTGACGATGGTTCAGAATTTTTATAGCTAGAAAATCTGAAAGGTTCCGAATGGTGTAGCGAATGATCGAGATCGACAGATTTATCCATTCAACCCGAACTCCATGTAACGCTTTACGTAACTGGACACTACGGAAAGAGAGAGTTATCGATAAGCTATGCTAAGCGATCCCGCAAAACCTGTCTGATTGTGAGTCATTCCACGCGACTACGCAACGCACTTTTCGATAATTGCACGGACAAAGTGTGGAGCATTCTTCAAATGATGAAAAGGATTACACGGGACACCCTGTATACGCCTCCTTCCTCATTTACATCCTAGATCGTCCGCCTCAACGAGCAATGTAACAAAATATCCCCTATAAACTCGCAAAGTTCTAATTAAAAAATGTAACTTTCAGCCCACAGAAGTACCCTATCGAGCGTGAGTCAGACCTCTCCGTTTCATTCGCGTTCGATCCCTCGATATAGATTTCCATCGCGTTCCTTTCCAACGTGCCGTTTCACTTGAACTTTAATCGTGCACGTTCAATTCCACCCACACGTGGCACGGCTCATTAAACGTTGCAACATTTTCGCGCATCGCCTTGGCGCGCGGTTAACTCCGAGTAATAGATATCCAGCGGGTCTTCGCCGATTGCTAGCGAGATCGAAACAACCGGCGGTAAATGACCCGTGCCACCGATGTTCGCGCAGGGCGGAGTCGTGCCATTTGTATAGATCCGCGGCGAGAAAACGTTGCTCGACGATCATCCCCGGTGTCCGTGACAACTCCACGGAAATTGGACGAGATAATTATAACGCTGATAACTGAAACGTAAGCTCTGTGATCCCGAACCGCGGGGTACCGCGGTGAACGTATTACACCGGGTAGAACTCATTATTTACCGGGGCTGCAACGGAGCCGAGGTGTTCCCTCGCGGAACGGTACGTATGTGTAACAGGTTAGCGTGGCCCGAGCACGATATAAGGCAATTAAACCCGTGGAATGTGCACACGCCACAAGGTCTGTCAATGTGCGCGTTGTGGTTGCTGGAACACCGAACATTATTATTGATGCGGACAAGAAGTAGCCAATAGACGGGACTACTGAGCTGGGGATCCCTTGGCCGCTTACCCCTCGTGACACAAGGTTGCTGAGAGCCAGAGAAGATAGTATTAACCCTTTGCACTCGAGGCCTTTTTTTCTGGTATCTACCAGCAACTCGAGATGCTTTCATAGCACTCTGTTGCTACGAATGCTAAGATTATACTGACTTCGAAAATGAGATCTCTAATTTCAGATTTGAGAATCCGGTCATCTTTTCCTCAACGACAATCATTTTATTGGCACTTGGAGTTCCAAAGAAATTAAACCTGAAGAAAACCTAGTGGACTGAGTCACCTCTCGAGTGCAAAGGGTTAATATTGTCTGGGGCACGATACAACTCATTCATGTCTGACCATTTCTCGCCAATTCTACTTGCGGAGTTCGTTAACCCTTTGCACTCGAGGCCTTTTTTTCTGGTATCTACCAGCAACTCGAGATGCTTTCTTAGCACTCTGTTGCTACGAATGCTAAGATTATACTGACTTCGAAAATGAGATCTCTAATTTCAGATTTGAGAATCAGGTCACCTTTTCCTCAACGACAATCATTTTATTGGCACTTGGAGTTCCAAAGAAATTAAACCTAAAGAAAACCTAGTGGTGACTGAGAGTCATCTCTCGATTGCAAAGGGTTAAATAGGACGATTCAGTGCTCGATCAGAACAAAGACAACTTCAGAGGATTTTTGTTGGAAGTATTCCAACTTTTGATGTGTAGTTTTACGTTGCAAAGGATGACAATAGATACGACTATTATGCGAGGGATGACCAGTTACCCTCATTGACCATGTACTTCATGGAACAAGGTTGCCAAGTCACAGAAAAGATAATTTAAGATAGAATTTAATAAGATAGTACTAAGACAGTATTAAATAGGATGATTCACAGCTCGATAAGAACAAAGCCTGCTAAGGTCGTCTCAAGTACCTAAGAAATTCCAGCTTTCGATGTAATTTCAATAAAAATCGAAGCCCTCTTGTCAATATTCTGAAAAAATGCTACACGAACCACTGCTTACATAGAAAGCAAAACAGAGATGAACAGGAGAGAGTTAAGTAGCAGATGCGGGACGAAACACTAATCGCTGGACCGTGGATTTGATGCATTTACGGTTTACATTAATTCGCTAAGTCGTTACGAGTCCAATAGAGACGCGATGTTCAGCGGTACAACCGCGAATTACGCGTGGAATTCCATAGGAAGCGGGATTTTTCGCAACCATAGAGAGTAACCGTTGGAACGGCTCGAAGGGACACGGCTTGATAATCCTCGATCGAGGAGAATGAGTCTTTGATCGACTGGTGGTTCTCCAGCGTCCACAAAGGCGCTGGCTGCAGGGGACGGATTGA